CTCTCATATGTACATAGATAGAGATCTTATTGATTAAAAAATACACAATGGGTCTACTTAGAACCCATTGACTGTCAGATAGTTCTAATCTTCTGGTCTTGCTCAGGCTGAGTTATATCATGTCCTGCATACTGTACCGGAACAAAACTGAAAAATAACTCGCAGTGAGCAAGTTTTTCAAACATCAAAATCCCTCAGAAGGACCTATGTAGAGGAACACTATGGTGGCATGGGTTTTTAACATCTACCTAGACACCAAATAAAAACTTTCTCTTCCTTGCTAGGATGTACTATTTCTACATTGGTCAAGGATAAGTGGAAATGTTTATCCCTTCTCCTTTAAAAAAAATCTCATTTCCAGGCTTCCTGAAGCCAAATATTGGAAAGACAGCTCCAGGAGGCAACTCCCAGTAAGGCTGCCACTTGCCTGAGAGAAGAAGGTCTGGTTAGCCGGCAGCCAACGTGACCCATGCCTCCTGGAGCTGTCTTTCCAAGCCAGAAACACTGTCACTCAGGGTGTCCACTGAGGGCAAGCACATTACACAGCACACTGAGCAGGAGAAGAGTTGGCACAACTGCTTACAAGTCACCTATAGTTTCAGAGCACCGGACCCATCTCAGTTGATCTTGAACATTTTAACCGGACTGTTTGCCCAACTAGGCAACTTCAACTGAATGTTCACAACATTCCTGCAAACCAGATCCCATGGGTAATTTCAGGACCTATTGGATTGTGAATTGTTCTAATATATTACAGACTGAGTTGCCCTTATCTAAAATGCTTGGGACCAGAAGAGTTTGGGTTTCAGATATTGGAAATGTATTTGTATAGATGTGCATATCCTGAAGATGGGGCCAGAGTCGAAACATGAAATTCCTTTGTGTTTCATATATTCATATTCTGATACAGAGGTGCCATTTTATTACTCTCTATGGACATGCTTGTTTCTCTTTCCAGCCTCACATCTCTCTCCAGCCTCATATCCCATTCCTCAACTACTTGAGTTGTGTTTGAGTTGTGAGGCTGAAGAGAGACAGAGAATCTGTAAAATGACAAGTATCCAAGCATAATGTTTGGAGCAAATCCATACCTGCTGCCATTTCACAGACCCTTGTATCTCTTTCTAACTTCACATCACTCTCCAGTCTCACATTTCTCACATCTCTCTCTAGCCTCTTTCCTCTTTCTGTGCACCAGCTGCCCACTTTTTCCTTGAAAATGAATGAAGAGGAGCATCACAGACAACACCTGAAAGGTGGAAGTGGGTGGCTGGAGGTAAAATATCTTGGATTTTGGAGTATTTGAAGTTTCTGGATAAGGGATTCTCAACCTGTATCTTATCAGGATCTTCCCTTTCCTTCTATGGGGAAAGTAAGAAAAAGGTACAACATATGCCTTCATTTTTCAAGTCTTTGATTCTTTAGAACAAGACATTATTAGACTGATTTAGCCAACAGGACATTATGAGAATGTTTCTTCCAACACTGCCAAAGATTTATGAGAAAAAGCATCCTTTCCTTTATGCTGTGATGGCTTCTAAAAATGTAAAGCCTATAATATTTTGAGTATTCATACCAAAAAAAAAAAACCAACAACACCCAAGTATAATATAATGGTGAAAGTGTTAAAATAGGCCTGCTGAGACCTATGCTCCAATCCCCATTTGGCTTTGCAGCTCAATGAGTAATCTTGGTTGGCTATCTTTTCCCATCTTAATCTGTTCCAAAGCAATTGCCAGAGTGGAAACAGAAAGGTTAGAGCATGTCCACTAGCTTGAGCTCTTTGGAGGAAAGGATGGGTTTAAGTAAATAAGGATAGCTGGCACCAATGGTGTCTTGCTCCTGTGATGTATAGAAATCTGGTGAATATTTTTTTCTTGGAACTATTACATTAACTACAAGAATAAAACAGCTACAACACAAGGCCAAATTAGAGCTTGCATTGACTCCCTGAGTACCATCAGGCAATATGGAGCCTGTGACACCCCAGTATCACCTAGTAAAAGAGTGCATAATATCACATTATTATGTTTATGTCAGCTCACTTATTTTATTAAGTGTAACTTGGGAAGCATGAGTTGGTAGAAATCACATCTCCCTTATTAACATTTTGTTAGGTCAAACAGACCTACAGCACATCATCCAATTGCTCCAATTTGGCAAGGACAATCTCAATTAACCATCTGTCTACCCATTCTTCTGTTGCTTTAAATTCCTTCCACATTCTTTCTTTGTCCTCACCTTCCCCTTCAAACTGAGTTGCTTCAAACTGAGTTCAAAGTACAAAAACCATAGTTTGAACTCAATTAACTCAAGTAATGGGGGAAAGAGGGGATGGGATGCAATCCCACCCTTCCAAAAAGGGTCAAGCAAAAGCAAACTATTACAGCCTCTCTTAGTTTATGTGTTTTTCCTATCTGATAACTTTTGCCATCTTGGCCATAGTCAAGATGTTGTTAGGTCACAGTTATCCCAGTTGACCTCTCTGAAATTCTGGAGGGTATTCTCTGAAATTCTCTGAAACGGTTTCCTCCTAGTACTACAAATATAATTATCCTTCCTAGTAATTATAAACATAGAATAATAACCAACAGACAATCGGGCTTTCACTGTCTGTCTTCTTTGTTTGTTTCTGGTGGACAAAAACCATCACTCTTCCTAAACCACAGCTAAAAGAAGAAGAAATAACCAAAGTTAGCAACAGCTTTAGTTGTATCCTTGGGTACGAAAACTGGGTTAAAGGGGGATATAAACAAAACAATATAGGATTATACACTGCAGCAACACCATATCATCTGAAAATGAATACCTACAAAATAAACTTTTTGGGAAAGAAGTGAGGAAACTTTTGAATACTGAAAACTGCATTATGTCGGGAAATATTCTCTTGGGGGCTGTAAACAGAGGTAAAGTCAGAGGTAAGTGAGTCTAAATCAGAAGAGGGAAGCAGCAGGGCTCACGGAAAGCTGTTTCTTCTAACATACTCTTTCTCTCTTCTTTCACCCAATCTTCATTTCTTAGCACCCATCCGAGAGCCCCTTTATTGTGGAAACTTTCGCAATAAAAAGGGGGCTGTCCAGACGCCATTCTGGCCAGTCCTGCATTAATTTGGCACAAACCAGGAAAACCCTGGTTTGTGCCAAATTAATTTGTAAGGGGATTTATTCTGTGCCATCTTGGAAGGCGCAGGATAAATCCAGTACTTCTGGGTCTGGACTGCAGAATACTGCAGTCCAGACTCCATTGCCACAATTTACCAGGCTAAATAAGCCCAGTAAACTATGGGAATATCCACCCCCCTTCCCCCAAGCCCCCAGACCCCTTAGAAAAGTAGTAAAAACTTACCTATCCTCCATTAGAAGCCTGGCATGCTATTTCTATGTGCCGGAAGAGCCATCCAAGGCTTCTACTGAAGGATTGGTAAGTTTGTACAACTTTTTAAGGGATCCAGGGGCTTGGGAGAGGGGGGTAGGGCCTACAGATGTTCTCTCGGGCTACTCCCAAGAGAACATCTGGACACCCACACCAGAAAGCGAACGCTTTCTGGCATGGGTGTGGACAGCCCCCAAAAAACATCCACAATTTTTAACATGGATGTTTCCAGGATAAAGGGCTGTCTAGATCCGCCCTTTGTATCTTCCTCGCAGTTTCTGTTTCTCTTTCCCCAATTGCCTATTTCTTTCCTCTAACTTGCCACTAACTAACTACCACACAGCAATTCCCCCCCCCTCATTTTATAGCATACACTAGAACCAATTTTAATGGAAGTCTTGAAGCTATCAAGAATACATTGAATATAGACAGATTGAGTATCTCAGAATGCAAAGGTGTCACTATGTCAACCACCCAAGTGGACAAGTTTGAATTCTGAAGCATTTTAGATTTCAGATTTCCAGATAAGGGATACTCAATTTGTATGGCTAGAGAATACTCTTTAATCTATAGATTTATGATATTTTGCAAATCAGAATATTTGGGAGTTAGATTAGCATAACCACTCTGATCAGTGCAATGATATTTCCAGTGTCTAACACTCTTCAAACTTCCAAATCATCATTAGGAGTACTATATAGCATGAAAATGTCAACAATATAGATCTTTCATCCTAGCAAATAGGAACCGTCCACATTCAATTCCTTACTCTTAGCATAATGACTCAAGTCATCTTAGCCAACAGTCCAACAGGTTGCTTACAAGACAGTAATCTATAACTGTATTTCTTTCATGTATTTTCAGGAACAGCCATAATTACAAATTACTGGACCACGCCATAAATGTGGGAATGCAAGTTGTTTAGATGTTCTAGACATTTACATTTTGGGGTTTTAAATGAATTCTGTTAAAGGTCTGAACTAGACAGAAGAACCAGATGTACCTTCTGTGTTTTGCTCACAGTGATGACTTGCTTACTGTGAAACAATGATGTGTGACAATGATGTGTTGGTGGGTGCATGAATATCCTTTCTTTCATTGCTGTTGGAACCAAAAGAAAGGCTGAAATACAGGTGAAGGAGGAAGGGAATGCAAGGAATGGCCACCACCTCTTTCATCACTCTAGACCTCAAATTTGGGAAATGCAGGTTAAGCACAATGTAAAACTGTTATCTGCCTTTTCCACTTTCTATACGGGGATATACCAGCTCTTCCTGCATGGCATTTACCACCCAGGTTTTTCAATCCATATGCCACATCTCAATCTCGATTGGATGCTGCTGCAGCGCCACTCCAGCGACTCCGCTCAGCTAAATGGCACATTGCCATTGGAAAGAAGGAAAATATATTCAAAGGATCACCAGTACAGGTCTGCACAAGGCATGCGGATATAGGTCTCACAGCAAGGGATGAGCAAGTTGAAGATTTACAATGTTTATTTGAATGGCTCTCAGCTCCTTGTCGCCACGAGCATCACACGCATGACACAAGGGAACACAAACTTAGAAAGGGAAAGAAGAAAGAGACATGAGAATGCATGGGAATGGACTCTCCATAAACATACAGACCTTGGAGATGGCTCAGGCTGTTGCTCTTTCCTTAAACAGAAGCAAAAATATATTAGCAATGGAGTCAGGCAAGAAAGGTATACTACATATACATATAAATAAATAAAATGACAAAGCCAAACAACACAACACAGTGACATGACAGGGGCCTGGACTATATAAAGGAAAACTAAGAAACACACAAACAAACGAAGAAACACATAAAACAAGACCCAAACAAAGCTAGAAGCACTTTTCAGAATCATCTTCTTTGGACAATGGGACTGATTTGAATAACCAATTTTCCCATTACATCTAAGGAAAGGTTGATTCCATAGATTTTAACCTAAAACTCTCAAGGGTATAGGACCGTTGGGATTTGTCACTCAAAGCTTCTGAAAGATCCACAGTATCTCATTTGTGTCCTAGATAAAAGAGTTATCCTCATTCTCTATGTCAGTGGTTCTCAACCTGGGGTCCCCAGATGTTTTTGGCCTTCAACTCCCAGAAATCCTAACAGCTGGTGAACTGGCTGGGATTTCTGGGAGTTGTAGGCCAAAAACATCTGGGGACCCCAGGTTGAGAACCACTGCTCTATGTTCTAGGTTTAGGACATCACAATGAGAAACGTTACCCATGTACTGTTCAAAATGTACATAGGTGGATCATAGACAAAATAGCTTCAATTATAATTCCTATGTAGTATATTTGTGAACTGACACGCCTCCTAACTAAGCTGGGGAACAATAGGAAATTCTATCTTAGGACTGGCTGGTCTTGATGAGTGGCACAATGGCTTAAAAATATTGAATGTGTTAATTGGTCATGTGAAGGCTCCAAGGGTAGTCACTTCTAATGTAGACTCTGCTACCCCAAAAGAGAGAAAAGACCATTTGAAACATTTTATAATTGTTTGTCAACTGGAAGAGAGAAGGTGATAAAGAAGACAGAACCAGTTTGTCTTTTAATCAGTTTGTCTAAGGAAAGAATGGATTTTGCTATGCAGAGTAAAAGAAAAGGAAGGAAGGAAGGAAGGAAGGAAGGAAGGAAGGAAGGAAGGAAGGAAGGAAGGAAGGAAACTGATACTGAACACAGAATATATTTTTGTATTAGGATGCCAAATATATGTCATCAATAAAGTCAAAATCCTTTTAATTTGGCATAATTTGGAATTATTACCTTCTTTAAAAAAAATCTTTTCAAAAATTAGATTTTAACCTGTTTTTCCTCTTTTAAATCAACCAACATCACAGCAATATCACTAACCTGAATGTCAATCCCGATTTGCTCTTCAGGTTCCTCAGGAGTTCCAGCTGGTTCAAAGGAGGGATGAGTCTAAATTGAAGGAGGAAATGAAAGAGAAAAGTCACATTCCGATAGAGAAACAAAGGCATGGCAACTTCTTATCTGGGAAACTATTTTCTTCCTGTGCATTTTTGCCTGTGTCACCAAAAAAGAAACATAATTTTCTATCATGTACATACTTCCTTGTAGCACCTCAGAAACAAGCATGAAAAGGTAATTTATTTTATTTTATTGTCGTATCATGAGCCACTTGAGAAACTGCAAGTCGCTTCTGGTGTGAGAGAATTGGCCGTCTGCAAGGACGTTGCCCAGGGGACGCCCGGATGATTTGATGTTTTTATCATCCTTTCGGGAGGCTTCTCTCATGTCCCCGCTTGGGGAGCTGGAGCTGACAGAGGGAACTCATCCACCTGTCCCCGGATTCAAACCTGCGACCTGTCGGTCTTCAGTCCTGCTCTTTATTTACTTTGAAGCTGCAAGGCCATTAATGCTAATCAAGGTGCCCGATCCAGTTTTATATTAGTTTACTATTTCTATCAGATGCTAATGAAACATGAAAGATCTTAGGACTGTACATTAGTTTACATGAATTATAAAGTCAAAATCTCTTAGGCTGAATTTTCTTGGAAGGCCTCATATTCAACAATCCAAATAATTGAAAACGTGTTTGAATGCAATGGTAAAATGTGAGCACAATGTGTTTCAAGAAAACATACAAACTCTTAACTGAGTTAAATATTCCAGTAGTAGAGAATAGGCACAAAACTCTGAATGACATTTGCAACTATGTGCTTTGATAAGAGGGGAGGAAATTTGAATACCTGACTGACATAAAACTGGATTTTAAGACAGAATTTGTAGAGATGATTAAAACATTATTATAACATTTATTCTTCAATAGAAATGTATTAACTTAGCCTCCAAAATCACCATAACTACAATTAGTTGTTAAGGAGTGTGTGTGTATGTGTGTGTGTGTGTGTGTGTGTGTGTATGTATGCATATATATATATATATATATATATATATATATATATATATATTGAGACACCATATGTATGCAACACTGCAAACCGCAAGACAATATTAATTTAAATCCATTCCTGTAAGATAAATGTGAGATACAAGAACCAGACAAATTGCCCAATATTTTTTCCCGATTACATTAGCCAAAAGAACTCTGATTAAGTTCTATGATATTAGAATATTCTCTCTCTTTCCAGAAGGCATATCATTTAATTTGCAAGAAAGCATGCTGCATTAAAAAGAGTGAGGCATAAAGATTCAGACAGTCACTGGAATAAAAATACAGCACATGCGGATCAACTGTTAAAATTGTTCTCCTGGTCCACTGACTTTACTATGCAAATTATTCACAGAGGAATAGTTTTATTTATATTTTACATATATAATATAATATAATACAAACTGCCCATAGCCAAGGGAATGTGAGTGACTAATTACATGGAAGCACACATATTGTAGTTTGGCGAGGTCAGTACAGCTGGATCATGCCCCAATGCGATCACCGTCCACAAAAACACAATATGGGCAGTACAACACAATAAACACTCTCACAAATGCACGCGTGCACACACCACAAAGGATTGGTTTTATTCATTATATAAAGCAGCCCCAAGGGCAGAAAGGTGAGAATATGCAGGAGGGGAGACAGAAAAGAGGAGAGGAGAATAATAGATCAGGAAGGAGCAGGCTTAATTGAAAGGACGGGAATTAGCAATGGATTCAAGTATCCTGAAACCCGGATTTCTTTTTCCCTGTATTTTCTGGGCTACCATTGTTACCACTATGGTTACTTACCGGATAAATAATAGAAAAAGAAATAAAGAGGACAGATGAGGCTCTTTTGCTGATAGAAGGAGCTAAAATGCTGAATTGCTCCTCAGATGTTGAGTCACGATCTACATCCTTCTCTAAAGTGGATGGAAATAGTAAAACCACTAACATCTTTTGGGGAGAGAGATGGAGAAGTAGTGAAGACAGATGTAACATTCTGCAAAACTAGCTATGAATAATTTTGACTGGTTAGTAGCCAGGATATCACAAATACAGTATGACCCCCATATACATGGTTTCACCTATCCACATCCAAAAAATTACATACTCTCTACCAGTTTTCTAGCGCCTCCAGACATTTCTATGGTATTTTTCCATCAGAAGTTGCAGAGTTGCCCTGAAGGACCTGAGAAATCTACATAGGATACCTCTCTAGGAATTTTCTTGAACCTCCAGAGTGACTCTGGCTCAATCTACACTGCCATATAATCCAGTTCAAAGCAGATAATCTGGATTTTATATGACAGTGTAGATGGGATCTCTATGGTAACTACTTGCAAATGTCATTCATTTCAAGATAGTTTGCTATTCTCCATGGTTTCCTGTTGTCAGAGTAAGTTCAGGTATGTATACCACATGGACACAGGGGTCATACTATACATATCCCCAAATCCTATGTTCTGGAGCGGTTTTGCAACTGAAAAGAAAATTGTGTAATTCTTTTTTAAACAAGATGAAGCATAGCCATATGAACTGATAAATGTACATTGCTTTTTAAAAAAGGAAGAACGGACCGCCTACCGCATCCACGAGTGCTGACATGACAACTAACCCAGTGTTTCACTTTGCTTCAATGTCAATCTGTTATGCTCTTCACTGTGGGTGAATAGCCTCCTGTAGTTTGTATTCTATAAATCTTACATCTGTCTTCATCCAGGTGAACAAAGTGAGAATGAGAAGAATGACAGAAGCAGATAAAAGGTGAAGGAAAATAATAGAGGAGAGGAAATGGTGTTGGGTTAGGTCAAGGAGTTGTCTTTCATGAACAGAAGGACACCACTCATCAAGATTTCTCCACCTGCTTCTCGGAAGGGAGCTACCAAATGTCATCATGAATTGCCCCATTCAGCAGGGTCACCTGACTTTCTCCGTAGTATTTTCTGGGCACTATAGTAGTTCTCATGGAAAAGAGTAGACAAGAAGTACATTTCCACCAGACTTTTTGTTGACAACTCAAGAGGCTTTATAACTTTTTTGCTATTGACACAATTTTAGTCAGTTATAATATATTTTTTCTATATTATGCAGATTCCAGTTTAAAGTTCCTTTATGAAACATTTGGTGAAATTAAAAAGTTTGTATGCATCTTCAGAGCCAGGGGAAGGAATCCCCTGGCCCTGCAGTTCTCTAGGCTCAGTCTTGGAATCTCTTGCAATCTCTTGAATACTGAATGATAGGGCTGGGCGGTTTCATTTCGTTAATTCGTAATTCGTTAAAAATTTGTTATTTTTTTTATAATGAAGCGATAACGAACCATTATGGAGCAACTTAAAAACGAAACGAATTTTTAAATTCGTTTCGTAAATGCTTCGGATTTGTTATGTATTCGTTTCATTATCGGTTTGAGGTCGTTTCGTTATTATTTCCGCATGTCTGGGGCAAGTTTTGTAGTTGTTTTTGTTTAATTAGTAAAAAAAATTTATAATATCACACCAACAGTCAACAACAGAGGGAGAGGGAAGCTTCAGAAGTTCCCCCTGTCCCATTTGGAGGTTTTTTAGCGTATTGCACGGTCGCGTTAACGAATCGATTCGTTATTGTTTCGTTAATGTTTCGTAATTTTTTTTAACATTTACGAAATTTCGTAAATATCGAACTTTTTAAAAGAAAAATTTCGGAATTCTTTTAAATATCGAAACGCAAAAACCCCCAAAAAACGAATCGATTTTAGAAACAATTTTTTCCGTTGTTACCCAGGCCTACTGAATGACTATTGGGGGCTTTAATTCAATATCAGAACTACTGCGTTATTCTCATGCCTGTTATCAACCCTGGAATCTCTTGAATACTGGATCACTTCCAAATGATTGAAAGATGTGTAAGTATCTTACCAGAATGGCAAAGCTGGTCTTTCACATCAACTGCAATGAGCATGACCACAATACATCCAACTTCATTGTCTTCTTTGCACTTATAACTATTAATGGCTTCTGGTTACAAGTAGCACTCACTCTAGCTATAAGAGAATTGGAGTATGTGCCATCCAAAAGGGGTGGCTGAATTCTAAAATCCATTCAAACATTCCCAAGATAAGAATATAACCACACTTGGCCCATATCTCAGGATTCAGAGTCAGATTGCCTCAAACAGCTTCTGTCTACATAGTAAAATGCTGATCCAATAATTTTATTCACAGCCATTTCAGTCTAGATGAAACTTGTTTGGGAAGGAACAAACTAATCTAAACTAATCTATATGGTCCCACATTAGTCTTTGATGTGGTTTCTCTATCATCAATTTGTTACAGGTTTTGATCTCAATTTCAACAGGGCTGCTTAAAGTGCTCAACCCTACTCCCATAAAAGTTAACAGTACATTGATTTAAAAACTGAAGTGAATTCATAAAATCATTGAGTTGGAAGAGACCACAAAGTCCATCCAGTTCAACTGCTGCTACAGACAAATTCATTTTCCAATTCCATACTCCATCAGCTACCATTGATGGTCCCTGTCATGCTTTCACATTGGCTTTTACTGTTTAATTTTTTCAGCCTTAGCTGTCCCTTTATTTAGGATGGGTTTAGTTCCTTTTTCTATAGTTTTCTGTGGAAGGAACCTTAATTAGACCCTGTCTCTTCCCCCCCCCCCCCCCCCACCGGGTGCAGCTTGCAGCCCTCCTCAGCAATTTCTTTGCAATTAGTCATTCTGAGGGTACCAAGGAGCCTAGAGGCTGCAATATCTTCCACATCAAAGGTTGAGGAAACTAAGTTTAAGACATGGCGAAACAAGTTTGAAGTATGGATGAACCCAGTCTACAGTTAAAAGAAGAAAAAAAGACTTGAACAGAAGTTGTTGACAGAAATCAAATCTGGACACAGGACCCAAAAATGAGGCTAGAAAGAGGATCTCTTTGGAAGAAATCGAAAGAAACCCAGTCAAGTTCTAAGCTTCCAACTGTTCCATCAAGGAATTTTTTGTTAGTCAGACCCTGGGAGGAGTTAGGGTGCTGATCTTCAATACAATTAAATTCATCTTTTGTTATGAGTTTCCAAATCTGTTCTTGCTGAGAATAGAGCATCTGAAGAGAGTTAGCTCAGGAAACAGAACAGTTCCAGAGCTACAAAGGGGCACTCCATGAAAAATTGATTTCTGCTGGCTGGCTCACAATTTTGGTTTTATCAGTGAGATCCACTTTTAAAGAAGCTTCATTAGAAATGAAGGGTTCCAGTGAAAAGGGGGAAAGAGCCACTGTAGAGCTCTTGCTTTGCATACAGAAGGCTCTTGAACTGACCCTTCCCTCCCCTTGATCCCCCTGCTCTCAGATCCTGAGGGTACTACTGTCAGAGAAGACAATCCTTACCTAGAAAGACCAATGACCTGATTCATAGGATCAAAGAATCATAGAGATGGAAAAGATCCCAGTGGACCTCTAGCCCATCCCTCTGCCACACAGGAATACACCGTCCAAGCAGATAGCTGTGTTTAGAAACCTCCAAAGACAGAGACTCCACCACACTTCAAGGCAGCTTATTCCACTGTCAATAAGCTCTTACTATCAGGAAGTTCTTCCTAATATTTAGGAGGAATGTCTTTTCCTCCATCTTCTAATCTCTATAGCAGCAGAAAACAGGCTTGCTGTCTCCTCACTACATCCTTTCAAATACTGAAATGTCCCCTTTTCACCTTCTCTTCCCCAGGCTAAACTTCCCCTGCTGTCTAAGCCATTCCTCATGGGGATTGGCTTCAAGTCCTTTGGCCATTGCGGTCACTCTTCTCTGGCCACATTCCAGCATGTCAACATCCTACTTGAATTGTGATGCCAGAGCTGGATGCGGTATCATTCCAGGGGAGATCTGACCAAAGCTGAACAGAATGGCACTACTACTTCCCTTGATCTATATATACACTGTATGTCTGTTAATGTGGCCTAGTATCTCTGCATCCCACTGTTGACTCATGTTCAACTGGTGGTTGACTAAGACTCCTTCTTCCTTTTCACCTCTACTGTTGTCAAGCCCAATGCCACCCATCTTATAATTGTGGATTTCATGATTTAGTATGAAGCAGCTACATGTGTTTCATGGCTAGATCAAGGAGAGAAAAAGAGAATATGAAAGACTATGGTGGAGGGAAGAAAGGTTAGTAAGAAAGGAAATGCACAGAGGAGAAAAGATCACAGGGTTGCTGTACAAAAGCCGCTGGCAAAAAATGTAGAACATATTTCAAAGGACTGGTAGAAAGCGCTGGGCCCAGTTTTAAAATAATTTGGCTGTTCTAGTAGCTGTAAGCTAAGACTGTTCATTATGTGATCACAGGAAGGAAGCCACAGGCCAGGATGATGGGAAACGCCATCTCTTCTAGATTTTGAGGAAAGCCAGTTCACCACTAGTACAGTATGAATTCAAAATTCGTACATTTTTTGCAAGAGAAAACAAACTCTTATCCAGGTCTTGATACTCACCAGTGGTTCCCCACATCCTCGGTTTGAAAGAACTGTTTCTTAACTCATTGAGTATGTGGAAGGTTTTTTGTTTGTTTTTGTTTGTTTTTGTTTTGTTTTTTTGTTGTTGTTTTTTGCAAACCAAGATTTGACATGATTGCAGAGAAAGTGCATGGGATCACAACAAGCAGCTGGAAGTACCTGGTCCAGATAGATATTTGGCTATGTGGCTTTGTTGCTGTATTGTGCGTAGGGCCTCTCTTGGTGGGCTTCCCCACCCGAACCCACCCCCAAATAAAGCTTAGCAGGTTTCATTCCGAAACAAAAATAGAACAAGGAGCAACACGACACACCAATTCACATGCACGTCATACCTGGAAGCACCATAGCTTTGCGTTTGTGAGCTTTTGGTTTCAAGTGTTTTCAAAAAAAAAAGAAAAGAAAAAAGGAGGGGAAATAAAAAGGAGAAAACAACAAAAAAAATTAAAGGGAAGTGGGAAGAAAAGAAACAGAACGAAGACAATTAGAATATTAGCTAAGTGTTTTCCATTGAGCAGATATACTCTCGAAACGCTCAAGAGGCAGCTGTCAAAATCTGCCTCGCAGGTCTAGATATGGTACAAAGAATATATTTTAAATATATATATGTATAATGTCTCATTTTAATTTTTCCCTTCAAGATCTTGCCTCTGGGCAATGGCTATACTACAGAGTCAACTCATTATTAATGAGATTCAACAGAAGAACAAAGGAGATAGTCAACTGGAATATTTCTGAAAAGGTGATGAGATTTAGAACACAGGTTGGTCAAGCAAGACAAAAATATGCCTCTCCTACTGTTTACAGTTTTTTTTCCAAAAGAAAAGATGATTAGCCAATATAAACCACAGTATACTGATCAATTATCTGTAGGGATAAGAATTTCTCCCACTGCATTCCTTTGTAGCCTTAAGTGGGGAAAACCAGGTTGAGTATCTCTTATCTAAAGTGCTTTGGATCAAAAGTGTTCTGTATCTCAGATTTTTATCAGATTTTGAAACACTTGTATATACACAGTGAGATATCTTAGAGATGCGACCTGAGTCTTAACATGAAATTCATTTACATTACACATATACCTTATATACATAACCTGAATGTAATTTTATATGCATTTTTTAATAATTTTTAAATGAAACAAAATTTGTGTACAGTGCCATGTAGTCATTTTGAAATATTTTGGTTTTCATAATTCCAGATAAGGCATACTCAGCCTATACCATAATTTCACGCTACAACACCCACCTGGCTTTTGCTTCAATTTGGATAATTTTAACATACGTTTTGGAACCTATGCTTCTACTATTTTCTGCAGTTTACGGAATGCCAATTCATTAAATACACCAGTATCAAAATGAATCCTAATGTAACTGGGTAACCCTATCATAACTCCAGCTCACAAATCTTCACCAATTAACCAATGTTGATACTATCCAGTGATCATCATAACATTCCTGTTGGCATTGGGGTTTAAATCAATGTGCATGCACATTGTTGCTCTAGAAAAGATATCTGATCTCCAGCCCACAGGCTATTCATGACCTGACCCACCATCTTCAATCTTATCTCTAGTGACAGGAGGTAAGAAATTTTCCCACTTTCTTACCACAGGATTTTTCAATTTTTTTACTTGTATCAAGGATGCTCTAGCTACTGGAGATGACATTATGAGTACTTGCACTATAGAATTTACCACTGCACCTCTGACAACATATATGTATCCATCTCAGACACTTTTTGAGAACATTTTGAGAACTTTGACAGTCTATTGGTAATGAAATTGTATTTGGAAATACCAAATTGTCCATCTATACCTGCCAATAACTGCTTTTGGACATTGATGGCAACATGTCCTTGGAGAGTTGGGAAAGAAGCACACGTTTTTTATATTTATATTTTATACTAGCTGTACCCGCCACGCTTTGCTGTGGCCAACCTTCCCACTTTCTCTTCTTCTTTCCCTCCTTCCTTCACTCCCTCTTTCCTTCCTTCCTTCCTTCCTTCCTTCCTTCCTTCCTTCCTTCCTTCCTTCCTTCCTTCCTTCCTTCCCATCTTTCCTTCTCTTCTTCCTTCTCTCTTCTTTCCCCCTTTTCTTTCTCTTCTGCTGTCTCTCTTTTCTTCCTTCTCTCTTTCCTTCTTTCGCTCCCTTTCCTTCCTTCTTTCCCTTTTTTCTTTCCTTCTCTCCTTCCTTCCTTCTCTAACTTTCCTTCCTTCCCCCTTTTTCTTTCCCTCCCTCTTTCTCTCCTTTCTTCCTTCACTCTTTCCTTCCTTCTCCCTTTGCTTCCATGCTTCTTTCTTTCTTTCCCTCCCTCTTTCTTTTCTTTCTTTCTTTTTTTTTTGCCCCTTCCCTCCCTCTTTCTTCCTTTTTTCTGTATTGTCATTTAGCTTTTCATCATTTAGCTTTTTGAGGCTTTTTAAGTCTGTTCTGCTGTGTTTTTCAGTGTTTTTATGAGTGAAGGACATACATTCGGCTGTTAGGTCTATGTTGTCCAAATTTGGGGTCAATTCCCCCAGTGGTTTTTGAGTTCTGTTAATCCCACAAACGAACATTACATTTTTATTTATATAGATTATATGTGATATTACTAATAATATTACAATATATTGGTATAGTACAATATAGTAATATATAATACTGATATTGTACTATGCTAATAATATAATATATATATATATATATATATATATATATATATATATCTTGTAAGCCACTCTGAGTCCCCTTCGGGGTGAGAAGGGTGGCATATAAATGTCGTAAATAAATAAAGAAGTATTTTGCTCCAAATTCCTATCACAAAGCAGGGCCATATATTCACACTGTTTAGACTGCAGTAGTACAGACTAACATCACACCATATGTTTAAATAAACAATGCAGGGTTTTTTTTTCCAGAGAAAGGCAACCAAATTGCTACATAAAATAAAATAACACTTTCCAACATCATCTTATGATCATTGTTTTAGGATGGTCATGATATATATATTCTGATATGTCTTTCCAGTCTTGGATTCCTCAAACTAATACCCTTTGCTTCAGTCACAAGAGTCAGAAAATATATTCACAAAACCTCCATGATCATGTTAGGTTATATTTTATACTACAAATGTCTGTTTTGTGAATTGCAGTAGTCAGGCTTCCACCAAAGAATTATGAGAAACATCATCTTGATTCCTAACCCATACACCTACCTACAGAAGATATCCCATTTGAAAGCCCATTAGAATAGTTAAGATATGTAGCAAGTAGCTATGCTGGGGGAAAAGGAAGAAAAAAGAAAGAGGGGTCGACCAAGGGCAAGATGGATAGATGATATCTTTGAATTGACTAGCTTGACCTTGAAGGAGCTGGGGGTGGTGACGGCCAACAGGGAGCTCTGGAGTGGGCTGGTCCATGAGGTCATGAAGACTCAGAAGCAACTGAACGAATGAACAAAAACAAAGCTTTGAAGAACCTGAAACCTCACCACTGTGCTCCAATTTGCCTACTTGATTCTGGAATGTAGCTACCTCTTCCCCATAGGACTGTAGTTACAGGGTGGGATGGGGGGCAAAATAAGGCCCCACCAGATAGGAATTCTGCTCCCCCCCCCCACAGGAATATTTCCTTCAGTCCTCAAATATCTAGCATTGTAGAGAATAAGACACTGAAAATCATCCACACCTACAATTCTTACATTTGTCCCGTTCATATTCCCTTGGGGACATTCCCTGCCTCTTTCCTTAAGATGTGGTTGTTGTGTGCCTTCAAGTAATTTCCAACCTATGTTGACTTTAAGGTAAACCTACCACAAGGTTTTCCAGCTGGGAAACCTTGTGGGAGTGTGTCACTCAACGAAGGAAAAAGATTCCTAGAGATGGAAGGCATCACAAGGACCATCCAGTCCAACTCCCAACATACCAATCAAAGCAGTCTTGGCAGATAATCATTACTGCTTCTTCTGATTTCTAACATTTAGTCACTCAGTGGATGTCACAGCAGAACACAGAATCAAAACCTGGTCTCCAGAGCCATAGTCCAATACTCAAACTACTACACCATGCTAGAAGTAAGGTGAAGGTAAAGGTTTTCCCCTGACATTAAGTCTAGTTGTGTCCGACTCTGGAGTTGTGTCCAACTCTCCACTTCTAAGCCGAAGAACCAGTGTTGTCTGTAGACTCCTCCAAGATCATGTGATCAGCATGACTGCATGGAATGCCATCAGTAGGTACTGCCAGAGAAGTACCTATTGATGTACTCACATTTGCATGTTTTCAAACTGCTAGGTTGGCAGAAGCTGGGGCTGACAGCAAAAGCTCATGCCACTCCCCGGATTCGAACCTATGACCATTCAGTCAACAAGTTTAGCAGCTCAGCAGTTTAACCCACTGTGCTACCGGGGGATATAACTAAACTCTATTCTAAATGCCCAGCTTAAGTTTGCATATTGTTGCATTTGAGCTATATCCTGCTTTTCTTCTTGTGTATAATTCAAAGCAGTCTTAAGACACAGAAATTTGGAGAATCAAAGAAAATTTCAAAGGAGGCACAGAATTGATACTGAGGGGCCAATGTCTTTACCTCCCTCCTTGTAGCTATGCCCCTGATCTGACATAAATAAATCAACCAACGAATTCTTGGTGCCTTGGATTTTAGGCCTATTTCTAGAGTTATTTGAGGCACTGATTCAGAAAATTGCATTGGATAGACCACATCAGCTCTAGTTTCTTAGATATGGTTATTATAATTTTCTTTGGGCGAGCAGATGATGACTGATGGTATATGTTCTGTATCACAAAACCTAGAGCTGATAAGGGGAAAGTGGTGTGATTTTTGGAATAATCAGGTCAAAGATACCCAGAAAAAAAATCTATCATTTGAGGCACCAAAATGTGTGTCGGCCAGCGTAATCCCCTTAAGTGCACTCGTGGAGACTGTGTGCCTATGTGTGCTTGCATTTTACATAATTTGTTTTCTTAGTGTGCTGCCTTAGCAACAGACTTCAACAAAGGAGTCACTGATCCTTTCCTTGCCAACACGCTCTTGTGAAAGAGAAGAGGCCTCCAACACTCCAGTCCCTTCTCTTCCCTTGACAGATGGGAATGGCATGGTGCGTGAGCCAGAAATCTGCTCAAACGCACACACCAGGACAGTGCTATTGAAAATCGTGTTCACCCGCCAGTTTTCAGCACCATTTGTACTAAACGTGAAGGATTTGCAAAGGTGAGGACAAGTGGGTGTTATGCAGAAAGATCTGAAAGTCTTTTTTATGCTGCTTATCAGAGTCTGCAGTAAAATATACTACTATGGATTAATAACTCTCCAAAAGTATACAAATTAGAATTTGACACCAGGACTTCGAGCTTTCACTCAACGTTCATAGTTGCTT